TTAATTTTTGAATCAAGTTTACAGAGCTGTGATATAAGCGCAAATAAATATATACTTTTTTTTTTTTCAGTTCCTTGTCGATCTAAAGCCAGGAAAAATCATTCCGCTCGTTTTGCCGGAAACCGAGGAGTCACAGTTTCAGCAGTTAGCTGGCGAAAAAATAAAAGAAGATGTGGGAAATGGCTGTGAGCCTACCACTGCTACTTCCGCTCCTCCCAATAAGAAAAAGTTCGTATTTTTTAACAGTATAGGTTGTGATGGTTTCGTTTCGTCTTGATCACGACCATACACGAACATAATACTATTTCTTCATTTGGACTTCCGTTGTCTGCTGAGTAAAGGGACGGAGGACAAAGGAAAGGAGAGCGGTAGAGGGATGCGAAAATTGCCCAAAGGTAGCGCACTGACAGCCAGATTTGTGTGGGATATCAGCTCGCCAAGACTAAATGAGCAGAAATTCGACGCAACGATCGAGATGACATGGACAGATGATGCGGGACTTACATAGAAGCAACTTTTGTACATTTGCGGGTATATTCGCATCCACAGCTGTGGAGTGGTAATCTCGCAAAAATAAGGGTAAAACAGTGACAGAACATATCTGGCTCCCCTTCGAACTGCCCAGCCTGTATTGGCGTACCTACAACGAGAGCCGAACTTTCAGTGTAGCACTCTCGGGGGATGTCTTGAACAGCTACGGGTTTTAGAATCAGGTTTTTGAGATATCACTCCAATCCACAGCGAAATTTGATTGAAGAGAAAGGGAGTCCTAGCATAGGACTTATTGTTTTGAAAAGACAGATGTTTTTTAGCTGAAAGGTTTTTTGACTTAACATTTTTTCTATCTACGGCTTTTTTTTGAAGGGAAATAAGCTTTTTGAAGGATCATGACAATACGGGATTTTTTTTTGCAGGAAGAGGTCTAATCACCGTCTGATATCGGGTAGTAGCTCCGAAGAGGAAAAGGTAAATATGAAAAATCGATTGGTAATGAAAAAAAGGGAAGATGTTGAACCCGTACTGGATCCAACAGCAACAAGTAGTCGTCGGGCAGCTGCTATCATGCAGAAACTTCAACAGGGTAATGACTTTTTCACCGTTAACTTGAAATCGGTTACATCTACTTTGATACTTTGCTTAGCTGCTGTTTCACCGCTGTGTGCTTTTGCTGATACAGTTTTTTCATTGTGCACGGCTTTGAGCTTCTCTTATCCACGTAACTCCACGTTGTG